CCCTTTATATAATGGGTGATAGCTCTGTCTTCTGATCTCTTACAAAACTGTTGGAAGCGGCCATAGCGGAAATGAATATCTTGCAGAATAGTAACATCAAGGTTCCTCATGCTCAACACTTTCTGAAAATTGTGATCTGCCTTTCCAGATTGGCCAGTTTCTATGTACATTTCAGCCAGATTAACATAAGCTGTGTCATATGTGGGTCTCAGTTCCAAAGTCTTTTGAAAGTGAAGCATAGCCAAACGGATCAATTGATCTGCTATTTCTCTATCCTGACCTCTAGGTTGCATGTTTGTAGCTTCCTTTATTTGGATCATTTGCTTCTTATAGCAAAGCCCAATCTGGTAATGCAAGAAGGCAGATAAAGGTCTTGCCTGCAAGGCCCTGTATAGGAGACTAAGAGCTCTCTCTACAAAACCTTCCTTAAGGTAAAATTTGGCCAGATATCCGAACACATAGGGTTGGCAGGATGTGTTGGCCTGAGCTTCTTCAATGTACATTCTTGCTTCATCTGGTTTTCCCAAGTTCTGAAGATTTAGGAGAAAAAGAACTTTAAGATAAGGATCATCTGGATTTAACCTGACAGCTTTCCTTAGGGGTTCCAGAGAAATACTATTGTCATTGAAATCCTGGCGATAGGCTGCAACAGCATAGCCATTGTTGTAGTCAGGGTTTTCAGGCTCCACTTTCAGAGCCTTTGCAAAGCAGGCCATGGCTCGTCTATTATTCTGTCCTCCACACTTCAGCAAGGCCCAGCCTTCCTCACTGTCCATCTCGGCACACTCCATCCTATAGCGGAAGGGACTTGAAAATTCCTTGCAAGTGTTCTCCACCTTGTCCAGGTAGGCCTGGGCTTCTGCCAAGCTGTCCATGAGATAATGCACCCAGGCACAGTTACCCCAGGTCACCAGGCTTCTCTTGTCCAGTTGCTCCCTCTGGGTCAGGGCTTCTGCTTCTTTCAAGCTCTGCAGGGCTTCCTCATGCTGGCCTTTCAGGTGCCTCACATAGGCCAGCCTGGTGTGTATCAGCATGCTGTTGCTGGTGTCAGGTAACTCAGTAGCGGAGATTCTCATTTCTAAGTCAGGCATGTCCACATCTTCTATAACCAACTCCCAAGTAAAGTGACATCTCAGCTGAAGCAGGTTTTCTTGTATGAGATTTCTCTGAGATTCTTCACTGTAAAAACAGACCTCAGTTACTGATACCTTTTACACTTATACACTCTGTGTACTGAAAAATCAAGCCAGCAATTAAGCCACCAAACACCCTCCACTCAATATCTCTCTCTGCTGCCAGTATTTATTCCCTCTGTGTATTTATCTAATCTCTTATTCTAGGGAGTAACTTTACATAAGAATTTGGAAAATTCAACTCACTTAATGGTACAATACTTGATTAGGAAAGGTCTAAAGTTCGGGCAAAATAATAATTTCATTGATGTCAGTAGAATTTAACTCCTGTGTTGGTTAGTTTTACACCATCTTCACACACACACGCACACACACACACACACACACACACACACACACACACACACACACACACACACACTCTATAGCCATTAAGGAAGTGGGATTGTGGACTGAGAAAATGTTTCCATTAAGATTGGCATGTGTGTAAGGTATTTTTTTAGTTGGTCATTGATGTGGGAGGGACCAGCTTATCATGGTGGTGCCATCCCTGGGTAGATTGTCCACAGTTACATAAGCAATCAGACTGAGCAAGCCGTGAGGGGCAAGCCTGTAAGCAGCATTCCTCCATGGCTTCTACTTCAGTTCCTCTGATACCTCTGATACCTAAGGTTCAGAGAACAACGAGGAAGAATGGTCTGAAAGAGTGTAAGATCCAGAGGATCAGGAGGCCTACTGTGAGAGGATGTCTTCTAGTTTCGACAAGGTTGCTGTGCCCATGCAAACTCAACAATATGCTTGCATAAACGTGACTTGCATAATGATGACATCAGTTGACATGTTTACCAGAGAAGGGAAAAATTTCACACGTCTCCACTTCTAGATGAAGAAATACAGGTAGTCAATGGCTACTGAGGGGAAAAAGAAAAAATTTTCTCCAGAAACAAGCCCTTGATAGGCTATCTAATCCCAATTGGTCACCAATACTAAATGCACTCAGTGAGAGAGAGAGAGAGAGAGAGAGAGAGAGAGAGAGAATGTGTTTACTGGATTTTCTTACACAAGAGAAAAATTTATATGCCATCAATTGCAAAATAAATAGCTCTGTGGGAGGAGGGTAACACTGCCCTTCTTGCTGTTGGTCAGAGGTGTTTTAGAGGCCCCCAAGATGATCCAGGGTATTGTCATTATTCTTGATTGTCCACCATTACGTGATGGTAGGACTCTATTGCTGAAGACACCCCACACATCAGCATAAGAATGTGGAGAAATCAAGTCAGTGCTGACCAGGAGATTTCTCCCGCACTGACTACTTCTCACAGTACTGAGAGATACTGTGCAGGATACTGGGGGTGCAGGAGTTGTCAACACTCTTCCTCAGATGTGAGCCCTGTGAACTTCAATAATGACCAGTCTGGCAAGATATGGTCACTGATACCATAGTGACGAGAATGCTATGGAACAAATAACCACTTTCTAATTGGATCTGAGGTCCAGTTCAAAGGAGGAAACACATGCCTGGTACTGCAAGTCTGGCCAAGAACACACGGCTGGGGAACTTACAGGTCCTGGGGGTGGCCCTCCTACTATTATTTTGCCAAATGGACATGATATCAAACTTTCCTCTAATAATGTATTCTCTTTATGCATAAGATAGTTTTGCATGCATGTATATATGTGTACCACATTGGTATCTAAGGCAGTCTGAAGAAATTATCAAATCCTCTGGCACCAGAATTACAGACAGTTGTTAGTTGCCATAGGGGTGTTACAGCCCCCCTCTAAATTCATGTCTTCCAACCCATAGATTTGCCCAACTATCAGACCTCATCAGGGTACTTCCTTCGTACAGTGGACAGTTATTGACATAGAAATTCACAACAGGTCAAAGCACAAAGAATAAGTATCATTGGGGTGTTCAGCTATAACTGTGAGATCTATATTACTCAGGGCTATCTCAGAAGAGGGGTAAAAGCAATAGAGCTAAAGGTTGTGAAGGATTGAAGCAAAATAGTGTCTGAATACAACAGGACCACCGCTGTCAAGAACTCAGCTGTGGTTGCCCAAACAAGATCTGCACCACATCAGTCTAACCAGGAGTGGGGGTAGGATTCATGAGCTCTCACTCTGGAAGACCTGAGAGAAGTCAATGGTTTCTGGAGTGGAGTCAATATTTTCACTTTTTTTAAGGGTGGCTCTTGATAAACTGACCATGCTCCTATGGGCAGCCCCATACCCAGAAGTCTATGGACAGCACAAATTGGAGTCCATGGGTTATTAGATTAAAAAAAAAAAAAGACACAAAGTTGAAGGGTAAGGAAGTTGGGGGGGTGGTCTGGGAGGAGATAGAAGAGTTGGGTGAATTGGATCAACAACATTCTTAAGGAATTAATAAAATAATTTTTAACTAATATGAGTTTAGTACCAACCTTAACACTAAGACACTTACCTGTTCTGCTTCCTTAGGACTTTATGGTATAGGCACTGGTCCTTTCAAGAAAAAAAAAAGTTGGGAGAGGGACTCACAGAAGTGGTTCCTTACCCCATTCCCTACTTATTTCCAATATGTAAATTCACTTTTTATCTCCCGCTTCTCGGAAGGCTTCTGGGTTAACTCTAAGAACCAGAAATGGTTTCCATGGATGGCTTTCCTAAATGCCTAAGCTGGAGTGGAGACGGTACTGGGGCCTCTTCCCTCCTTCCTTCTATTTGAATGTACACAGCCCCAGAATAACATTAACATGGTACAAGGTCTAATGTAACCCCACTTTTATAATCCATTTGGTGCCTGAGGTCAGGAGATTCTGCAGCTGAGTGAAGAATGGGTAATCACCGTCTCAACGACTATAGAAATGATTTCTCACCTCCCAGAGGGAAACACAATAACTCGGGATGTGTGTGACCAAGAAATTCTGTTCTATTATTTCTTCTTTCTATGATGTTCTCTCTGTAAGAGCACTAGGGAGAACAAAAGATTTCTTTGATAGTTGAAAAAGTTGCCCCTCCCTAAAGCAGATATCATTAAGGAAAACTTTTGACCCAAATGCTTCACTTCTGCTCAACACAGCCCATGATGATGAGAACAGACACCTACCCAGGGAAGATATCCACACAGTCATCTGTTACTCTAGAGCTGCCACAATGTTTGTGGGAGAATCCTCCATGCTTTCTAGATATGTGGCGCAATCTCAGATACCCGAGCTCTGGCCCAGTTAGCACATTAATGAGAAATAAAGAGACTACCCTTCAAATGATCCCAGGGCAGTTTGCAATGTGAAAGCATAGCAGGTTTCTACCCTCCTTGAGCCTGCAGAATTTGAAGAGCACAAAGAGCTCACCTGGGCTCTTCTGTCTCCTGCTAGATGATTGTTTTCCTTTCTTACTTTGGTGCTTACCACTGTCATATCAATTGCTTTTCTCTTGGTTTTGGTCCTTGGATGACTATGGAATAGAGTGTCATCACAGGTGTCTACACTCTGTAGTCCAAGTGGGAGCCACGCCCTACCTTAGCTGAGGACTGCTACAAGGACTATATGAGTGGGTGGGGACCTATGTACCGCTTTGCATGTGGTGGCTGGGGCTTTTAAAAATTGTCAGGCTGGCTTCTTTCCCACAGCTATTTTGATCAGTGAAAAATGCATGAACAGAGCCATCACCCTACCTCTGTCCCTATACCATTGGGACCAAGGATATTTTTATGTGGCCAACCTACAGTCTTAGACTAAATATTTTCTTTTCTTTGCAGTCACTAATATGCTATTTCTTCTCAAGCCAAGTATAGACATTTGCTGGAGGAGGAATCCTGACAAGGGGCCCATTTTACAGTTCTCTCTCTCCCAAGCAACTGCAATATCAGATAGGATCAGAAAAATAGCCAGAATGTTTTAGAGTGAAAATATTTCCTGTGGTTTACTAATTCTAACCAAACCAGAAAAGAGAGGGGTGCATTTTCCTAGAACAAGAGCATCCAAAGCTGAAGATTCTGATTTTTCAGGCCTTGAGTCTGGTGTTTCAGTTGGACACTGGACATCCCAGATATGCAGACATCTCAGATATCCAGATTGCTTAGCCCACTCTGGAGTTTCTGAGTGATCACTTCTGGGGTGGTGTCTGGGAATTTGTGTTTCCAGTAAGTACCCAGCTGAAACTGACACTGGTAGTCATATAAGCTTAATCTGAGCATGGTCAATGTAGTGAAAAAACAAATTTTCAAGTAACCACACTCTCATAGTTTTATTGTAATCCTAAAACCCTGACCTAGGGGACTAGAGAGATGGTTTAGTAATTAATAACACTTGCTGCTCTCATTGAGGACCTGGTTCAGTTACCAGCACTTCCATCAGGTGGTTACATCACAAGTGCCTGTAACTCAGTTCCAGGGACTCTGATGCCCTCTGGCCTCTATGGGCATCCTCAGGAATGTCATACACTTAAACTCATGCAGGCAAACACAGTATACATACAATATACATACACATATCTGTATTTATGTCTATGTCTATATCTATCTGATTGGCTATCAATAAAAACAACAAAAAATGTCCACCTTTAAAATTAGCTTCTTCTTTCTACCAGGATTCAATCAACTTATCAAATGAAAACCAGCTTCCTGTCCTATCCCCACTACTCTGAAGTCACCATTCTCATCTGTCCATTGCCAGTCTTCGCTCCATCTCAGGTCTCTGTCCGTTCATGGACAGTCTGTAGTTGTCCCCTTGGGAAATTGTCACTGTGTAAAACGTCCTGAAAAGTGGAATCTCCTTTGGAATAAGAAAGGCCTTCTTATTTATCCCCTTAAGAGCAATGCTGCCTTTACCAAGCAGGCTGCCACAGGTGGGAAATTCACCTCATCTTTCTGGACTGCTTCCGTTCCTTCTTTGTCTCCCACACATGGGAAAGCTGACCCCATGGACTTCTTTATCTAGATCTCCTTGATGTTTTCCCTATCTTGTGGCTTTAGTCACTTGGTTGCAACACTCAGAAACTGGGGTGCTGGGAAAGGGCAAGGTCTTGATACTCTTTTGTGAGCTTCCAGCAAGCTGGCCTTTAAATTAATGGTGGTTGAGTTCTCCACCAAGGCTCTCAAGAAGCCCCTTCTGAGAGCTACAGGTAAGGACCATTCCAGATCTACTGAATCTCCCTCCCCATGTCCCTCAAGGTCTATGTTTATCATGCTATCACTGTTGTTAGCCTCCTACCCCAAACCCTCCCCAATGGCGAGACTAAGACCTATCAGAGCAGGATGACTCCGTTAGGAAAAAGCAAACCTAGGAACCAGTCATTAAAGGCTCTACATTTTACAATGTCAACATATGCAGAAATCAGTTGAGCAAAGCACAGAAAGTCTTTACCTCATGTTGCTGGGACAGCTCCTTAGTACTTTGATTCTTTCAAATTCAATGGGGTTCTTGGAGTTGTCAAATAAGCAAGGTATTTATATATAGGAGGATTACTAGGCAGTTTTCCACACCCCTCATGACCTAAGTGAAACTGGCAAGCTTCCAGCTTAGTGAAAAGAAAACTTCAAGAGAGCTGCTTCTGCTTTGATAATAAAGACATGCATGATTTATGACGCTAACAAGATTTTAGTTAGAATCTATGCTCATGTTTGGTTCCATGTACACTTTGTGTCAGGATATAGCTGATGTTTTATATGCAGTGTTAGAAAAGAAGAGTAGATGCAAGGATGGATATTTTCATGGAACATGCAGGACTGTTTTGTTACTACAACATACACAAGGGGAGGCATTTCAGGGTCCATGCTTTATGCATAACAGAATACTGGAGAAAGTATCTGTGGCAGAATGAGATTGCAGATGGGTGGTTTTTCTGTTTTTATATTTTTATTTATTTATGTATTTATTTATTTATTTATTGAGATCTTGGTCTGAAAACAGCAAAGCCCATGTAATTTATATCCTCCTGTGGAAATCCTACCCTGGTCCACTTCCACAACCTTATCAGTGGTCCAAACAACTTTCTTTGAATTGGCCAGTAGAACAAGATCTTTGTCCATTTAGACTATAGACACAACCTTATTAGTGGTCCAAAAAACCAGTAGAACATGAGCTTATTAAGTAGTAAGGTGGATAGCAATCAGACTGTGATGGGCAACCAGAGTTTAGAGTATCCAGGCAAGTGTGAATGTTAACATCTAATTCTAAATCCACACAGTTCTTTTGAGTTGTCCTCATATTTCTTAAACTGTTCCACCGGGTGCTGTCAGAACCCCAGTTACATTTAATTTTCAATGACTAATACTTAGGAGATCCATGAAACAGAAATGCCTCTGATCTGTAAGCCCTTTTCCCGAGGACAGTTCCTGAAATGCTGGAGGCTGTTGTTTATGGGAGATAACAAGACACAAGTTTTTCACTCCCCTAAACAAGTTTGTTTGACCCATCTGCACCAGATGTTCTTCATCACATGTGGGTGGGAGGTTTATAGGCAAGAAATCTGTCAGGTTGTATCTTTGCCCCTGACTGGATGTAGACTGTAGGTACATCTGGCTATTTGCTTGCCCGGGATCAGACCTGATGGGAAATGCAATGAATTCCTGATGGCAAGTGTAATGAATTATGTGTTTTCCTTCTTAAGCTGCTGCAAACTGTGACTTGGGGCCATTTCCTGAGAATTTGGGTCTGGACTTGACTAGAGCCCATCTGCCTGGACAGTATTGAATTAAAGCTTGCTTCAAATTTAGCTTTTTGTAGTACTGGTCTTATTCTCAATCAGTGGGATCAACAGTCCCCTGGTATGGGGGTCACAAAAACCCACAAAGAGTGTCCATCAAACGCAACTTACATGCTTATTCAAAATTTTCTGAGCCCAAGATGGTGCAATTATTCATCCAGCTGGCAGGGTAAGAGGAAATGTTGAAAAGCTGTGGTTCTGAAACTCCCTTGTGAGTTGCTCCTGAGCTATCTTGTTAGTTTCCATATCTTGCTTTTGTAGGCAGCAGCATTGCCAGATAAGCAAGGAC